CAGTTGTTATAAAAAAAATTAGAACCCACAATGTAGCGAAACATCAAGAACTATTCACATCCTGTGTCAAAGAAAGAAGATTACATTTAGTTAAAATATAAATTGGAGTACCTACTAATAAAAAATTATAGACTGTCAGATTGGTGCAGTGCCTGGGCAAGCCACTACTGCTCAATATGTTGCAGGTTCTTTTCTGTTCGCGTCTGGGCGTGATTTGTATAATTATGAATTTATAATGTTTGTAAACATACCCACCATATTGAAGAAAAATGTGGGGCCACATGAAAAAAATATATGAAATAAAATAATAATTTTGTTTGTTGAAGACGGCCAAAATATTATATTGCACACTAGATCAATTTACTTGTCTTTCAGTTTTTTATGACATTCTGTTTTCAATTTTTTTTCTGTACTTACCTCCTCAAAGTAGTAACACACGTTCCTAAACTTTATTATGTTTTATCTAACTGGGTTTTCTTTTGAGATAATACAAAATACGTGTCTTATGTTATATTATTTATTTTTTATCTGTCTGACGGATTAAATAGATGTTTAATTTTCGTGCTCTGTTAACATCCTTATTACTATGAAATGTGGTCGTGCCATCAGACTGAATAATATATTTCTGTCCATGACATAATAGATATTAAGTGCAAAGGGCGGTATCCTCAATTCCGTATTCCAGAGATGATTGACCGCAAGAATGTTCAATAAACAATAAACATACGAAGCAGTTTCGACCGAACATTGAAACGTCACTCGGATTAAGTAGTTCACTTTTTACCTGACTACGGCGAAGCGAAAAGGCGGGTTATAACATGTCTCAATAACGTAGATGACGATAAAGTGAGGTAAAAGAGATATAATTTAACACAAATTCTGTACAAAATGTGTAAAAAATCTATCTCTAGTAGCTAAACTTATCGAAAAATACCCAAGCTATTGAGACTGGTCGTTAATTGCGATAGAAACTGAAATACTCAGAAGATTATCTGGAAATTGAGTTGTAGGTTTTGGAATGTAGGTACCTAGATGGCCTATATTTTCTTGCCTTTTACCATGGTTAAATTTGGGACAGTCTATCTATCACCAATGGTATAACTTAGTGTAAGTAGGTACAAATCTTGTTGTACTGCTACAATATTGTACCAATAAACTTTCCGTGATTTTTATCTACCGGTACCTATATATATTCTAGGAGTATTCTGTGAGGACTCTAAAATCAGAGTGATATTAAAGAGATTTTTACCAAAAATGAGATTGGACTGTACTGGCGTAGAAAACTCGAAATTATTTCAGGCTAAACTCACTTGAATGTAAAAGTACAGGCACGCATTTAGATGAATCTATACTGAAAGAATTATGATTTTTCTATGTATAATTATAACTAGAAATGTGACATTGAACTCTGATTTTAGCGTCCTCGAGTCCGTATTTTGTTGATCAATCAAAAGGACCTATGTATAATGTATCGTAATTGTATTTTGTAATCATTGCTTTAGTAAGTCCTTCAATGTGTATTTTCATTGTTTTAATTTTTTTTAACATAAGCTAAATTATTTAGCATTAATAACTAGTTGTCGACCAAAATTAAACTTATGAGGTAATTTATAAGGTATAATTAAAATTTCGACAATTCAATTCGAGTCTTTAGACTAGGTGTATTGGACAACATTTTTTCCTCACAACCTGCAGATTCTGGTTTACATAATTTGCTAGCATTAATTTCTGTTTTTCCTCATAGGATTTATGTGAGCTGTAATTGTTTAAATAAGGGAATGTTATTTGTAATTGACCAAGCGTTTAATACAATTGGGATTTCTTCGCTAATAAAACTTAACTTTAAGATCATTATCCAGTTAATACAGATATTATAATGCTTTGGCAACGTAAATATTTGTACGTGTAGCGTTGCTGTACGATATCATTGTGCTGTGTATTATAACACTTATTGCCACACAGACTCGTGTACCTATTATACAAGGGAATTACCGAATCTTTCTTGTTGCTTATAAATGTATGCCTCTATTATGTACGATAAGAATACTATTGCGAAGGAAATCGATCGTTTGTTATATGTATAGACAATAGAGAAGTTAGTAATATCGACTTGTAAACCACGGCCAGTTCGGCAAATTAATGATTTACAAAATTTTAATGAAACTTTAAGCTACACATTTTGAATATTACACTGTTGAATTTTTAACTAAATATGACATTATTATATTACATTAGTTTCAAATGTGTGTGATATTGTAAATTATTGTAGTTGTTGTTGTACCCGTTCGAAAATGATTAAACTTCATTAATTATTTAAATGTTCTAATGGCTCACGCAAGTGCGAGCAGGGAAATGGACTAACTGTTATGTCTCGTGTATATTATTATAAAGTTATGGTACTAGTCAACGAGTATTTATAACGACAATGTCAAGGAATAAGAATGTTAAAATGTAACTACACTTATAAACTTTCAATTAAATAAAATCTACATAAGAAATGTCATCTATTATTGAAGTAACTCCTCTCATTTTAATTACTTAGTTTATTATAAGCTGACATACCCGTACTTTTTAAAAACTCTTAATAATTTTAATATATTTCTTCTTGTTTCCAGGAAGCAGTATTCCAAAATACACATGAAGTATTTACAACTAGTCTAACATTATTTGTAAGAGAAACGAGGAACGTACTTGTATAACCACCAGCATGAACATAGGTACAGATGTAAGCCTAAATAAAGTTATTGTTCATCATTTTAAAATATTTTTTATACGTTTATTATAACATTTTATTATAATTTTCACTTTAAAATATACTATACATCGCATCGTAACATTGTTTTTATTAATCAATGTTTATTAAAAATGTGATTTAATTCAATTCTTGCCGTAGATTAAAAAAAGTGGTGATGGTGACTAGGATTTTAGATACTTTTAATTTAGAGATTAAACTTGTAAAAGGCCATATAAAATAATCAGCTTGTACCTATGTATATTCATGTAAATATAATAATTGTTGTGTGACTATATCCAAACTTGTTTCACACGTAAGATTTTTAAATGATACCTAGTTTACATATACTCTTATCGTACGAATAGTTCAATGATTAATGTATTTATACTATGTATTGATAAACCGAAAAACTAAAAATATTCGTCCAGGGCTTCCTGCATAGATTGCATTTGCTTGTAGATTGTTATTGGCTGTTAGCGCATCTATGGCACTGTATTATCGTAGCTATTCTGATTGTAATATTTATATTACGTACTGATATTATGTAAATAAAGTATAACATTACACACCAATATGACCTTGTTACTAAATCAAATAATTCTAATACATCCACCAAACTTCATAAACGTTTGTGATGTGCGCCATTGAGCCATTCAGTACCTTAACATGGAACTACCTACGACAGCGATTGCTATTATTAATGAAGAGTATGAAAGTACGGGAATGTAAACATTTTTTTCGTTTGTTTGGTAATTTTAAATAATTTTTCTCCAGTGCATGTTAAAGAAAACTTAAATATTGACGTATTTCAAAAAGATATTCTCATAACAAGTTTATCTCGTCGAGAGGTTCCGACGACAACCTTACTTGTCGTGGCAGACTCCGCGGGTAAACGAGTTATATTTGAATAATGAATATTAAGTGGTTCATTAATTTAGCAGTTTTATTTGTGGCGAGTGATAATCTAGTGCAATCATTCAACATATCGGTATATGACATTTGTCCTTTATATAAAAAGGGCGCTAGCTTGAATATACACGACGTGGTTGGACGTTGGATGACAGTCTACACGCAACCGAGGGCGATAGATTGCTTTAAATTTCAAGTTAGAGCAACTACGGACTTGGTAGGTTACTTCTATATCCTACTACGTTTTGTTGATACCTGCGTTGGATCCAATGTCTTAATCAGTGCGTCGAAAGTATTAAAATGGTTTTACCTATTTGGTTTATACCTAAATAATATCAAGGAAGTTTTCTTTATCAGATTAAGATGAAGACAATCAGATTTATCTTACTATTATTTCATATATGCCATTACACTGCAATCGCAGTCTATCACCAACGTAATTGATTAATAGATTTGGATCCCGCAAGACTACTGATGTACCTAAGTATCACACTGGTGATCCTCGTGCGTATTTTGTAATCACGGTAATGGTGTGTATTTAGGAGCGAGAACAATACGTAATAAAGTATGGAGAGTTCGGCGGCCGCGTGGACTGGAACCTTTGTCTCCTGCAAGTGGAGACACTCGCGGGGAAACACTTCTTAATGGGTAACGGTTCCGAATCAGGACTTCTGGAAAATATTATTATAATGGAAAATAAAAATGGTAAAGTGGATCTTTAGTATTTACATTAAAACATACATAATTATACATTATTGTACATTTAAAGCAGGACATGAATTGGGTGGGTAGGTACCTATCTACTAGATAAGTACCTAAGCGCTTTATCTCGGTGCAAATTCTTAGATATGCTGATACCACGCTGACTCACCAGTGGTAAACAGAATCTTAATGAGTAATGTATAATAAACCTACTATTTGTATATCTAGAACACAAAAACTACTAATATGTTATTAATTTTAATAAAAAAAGTTAATGATTTTACGAAGTACCTACTCTACACAAAAAATAGGTATTTAAATATTTCTAAACAATGTAAGTATTTGTCAGCAGGCGACTATATGTTACAAAACCAGAGCGCAGATCAATGGATGTTGTTTGGTCGCCGCGGAAGTGAAGTGTTGATGATCCGTGATTGCTACGGGGAAACGGCGGCCGCTTTCGCGCGCGCCCCCTACTGGCCCTCCACGACCGAACTTAGTGCAATATTCCACCGCAGCGGCATTGCTGCACAAACTCGTGGACGCCTACTTTGCGAGCCTCATGAAGGACCCAGGAGGCAGCCGCACTACGTGGCCAGTTACTCACACAATACAAACAGGAATTACTAAGCAACGGCGACGTATCATTCAATCGTTGTGTTTTTAATATTTATAATGTTAAAATAAATTAAAAGAAAATCGTTATGTTTAAAAAATATATTAATCTTTTGATTTTACAACACAAAATTTCCATTCATAAGGGTGACGTTGCGCCAACGTACAAAAAATATATAGGGCCGGTTAGCAACTACTTCCAATTCTGGTTTTTGGTCCCACTCGATGCCTGAAAAAGAGCCATAATAAACATATTTATTGTAGTTTCATAACGCGATAGCATCATAGATAATAACTAATTGATTGTTGGCTTATCTGTAGCGGCGTAAGTATGTAGTATAACCACAGTATGACCGCCACTTATTCACATTATATTTTGTGATAAATAAATAATGTTGAAGTGTTGTCCATGGAAATGGGGACCTTTGAAATATCCATGGATATAATAAATTCCTAATTAAAACCTACAGGTTGGGCTTATAATATTGATGATGGACATCTAGGTCACATATTTAAGGTTAGGTATACTAAAGTAGGTATCTATATACCTATGTAATAGTATAGTACCCATTAATTTAGCAATAGGAACTATTAAATCTCACCATCGTCTTTATACGCGTCTCGTCCCGCTTCCGCCCAGAACATGACGCGCTGCACAGCGTGTGACAGTCTCAGAGAGTGCGCATCCGTCACGTTGCTCACGTCCACTAGTCGTGGCATTCCCATCTAACATATAGCAGTAGTTTATTGAACCTATGATATAGGTATATAGCTAATCGACTACGTCACTTGAGGAAACTAAAGTACCTACCTACCTATCTACTACGTAGTTACTGTACCTATCTTTATTAATTCCTCTATTAGTTTAACATGGGACATCTACCTACTATTGGAAAATCTGTTTTGACCTCACATTTGAACAAATTCTTCAGTTTTCCTTGAATTCCTATAGACAGATTTTAATTGTGACTACAATAGCATTAATAAGTATCTAGACAGTAAAGAAATAAATTTAAAGAGGTAAAGTGTAAGTCAATAGAAATACAATACCCACGTATTAGGTATATTACTACATACCTACATTGGCAGTAAACCTACCTGGATATTTGCACTACAGGTAGATACCTGGTAGATACAGATTAGAATTAGATAATCCTAATCTGTATTCTGTAAAAAAAAACTAGATGCCTGCTATAAGAGAACTTATTTCTTTAGAGTCCCCAACAAATATTTCGATGTCTCCATAAAATAACATGAAAAGTATAACTTACTGCCTGTAATTTGTTAGGCAGTAGTAAGGTCATTCGAAGAGTGTAGATAGGTATAGTGGCGGCCACTCTGACTGTCTTCATCTTTGATATAATATCTGCGACGCTCGTGTCGCTGACATGCTGCGTTAGCTTCTTCAATGAGTTACTTCGAGGCACCAACATAAGGAGCGTGAGATCTGGAGTGGCGTAAGAAATCTCTAAAGCCTGAAATATAAATAAAATATGGCGTATAGTATAATATGACGCCCTGTGATTATCATTATAATTAGGTAAAGTTCATAACATTTATTCTTGGAGGTACATTGGTGGTTATGTACTTTTAAAACGGTTGATTATTTAGAGGCCGCGGTGCCCTATGGTACGTGTGACGGTGCTAATGGATGGATACCTATGTCGGTGACATATATAGTATAATATCTATTTATAATAGGTATTACACATAACAGATAACACTACATAGAACTAAATAGAATAATGGGTCCCATGTCACAGATGTCATCTGCAAAATGTTGGTATCAACATTTATCGCAGGGGGCGGTTCACAGTATTAGGTTTCCATCGAAATTATATTGGGTTCTATTGATGAGGGCCTTCATAACTGCTGTGAGCATGGCGCCGCGCGGTACTTTCTACGCACTGTGTGCACTGTTAGCACTAGCTGCGCCCCTAGTAACTTGTGACTGCCCACCGGAACGAGAAGGAGCTACGCATGATGAAGGCAAACTTCACAAGGATTTGCTTTGTGCGTATAATTACGACTTCCGGCCAGTGAAGGATCACAAACAATCCCTTACCGTGAAAGTAAGATTCGCAATAAAGTATCTTAGTTTCGATTCTTTAGAAGAAACGTTTACTTTGCATAGCTGGGTAGCGATGATGTGGAAAGATGAGTTTTTATCTTGGAGACCCGAAGATTACGGCGGTATAAAAGAAACACAGATGGAAAGTCATGAAATCTGGACTCCGAGGATGGCGCTCTTCAACGCCGACGCCTCTATGTATCAGTCCGATCAGATCTACACGACCTGCATGGTGTCGAGCGAGGGCGTAGTGACATGCGTACCTCACGTCGCTCACTCCGGGATTTGCCGGACGTCACTGCGTAGCTGGCCCTACGACGTACAAAACTGTACACTATATTTTGGGTCGTGGATGAACACTGGGGAACAAGTCAACTTTACCTTTTACAATAAACAACCCATCGTAAGGGAAGACTATCAAGATGGTCCAGGCTGGAAATTGCTGAACGTGGTAAACGAACGTTTACCAGGGAAATACAGCTGTTGTCCGAACAGCACGTACCCAATGTTAAAATATACATTCGTAATGAAGAGGATAGCAGCGGGACCAGCAGCTATCGTCGTGGTGCCTTCCATTGTGATCGTACTTCTGACTCTGGTGGCACTTGCAATGGACGCTAAAGACAATACTCGACTCATGTTAATTTGTTTCAGTCTGTACGGACATTTCATGTTTCTCACAGAAATTGGTTATGATATTCCGAAACACAGTGCGGACACACCGATCATATTACTGTTCCTTCGCGATTCGATGATAGTGACATTGGTTGGGATCATAGAAACCATATTTTTAATGTATTTGAGACGACGAAAGGTGCCAGCGCCAGGTTTTATAGTGTCAGTGAACCGGTTAGTGGCCAATGGTCCAGGTAAGTATGTTATTTTCACCGAGTTTGACCCAAGTGAGATGGATACAAAAGAACTGGCCGGTAATAGCTCTGATATCACTACCGACAAACCGCCTGTTACATTCGACTGGGTACAATTTGCTATTATATTGAACAGAATTAATTTCATGGTAATCGTCCTCGTTTATATTATACTAGTTGGCACCTACATTCCACACGATGATTAAATTTTTATAACACCACCCACCAACCACCATGTTAATAAGTTTGTGCCAGAGCCATTAAAGTCATTCACATTCCTAATTTCTGTATTCTAAAGTTAAAATAAATAAATACATAAAACCAGAGACGTAGTTTGGTGACTGACCTGAGCATCCCAATCCTTTAGGTCTGCGTATTTCATGATATCGTTGATCCTGATCATGCGTACTGTGCGTTGGGGGGCGTCGTCTGCGTCGTGGAAAGGCTGCGTGCCGTTGAGGACCGTGGGCGAGGCTCGCCAGCGTCCGCGCATGTACAGCGTGGTCATAAATACCGCGATCACACCTCCCGATACATCACCTTCGTCAAACGTATCGTGTATCGCACCTCCGGAGTCTAATTCCACCTTCACAGTGAAAGTACGATGTAGAACGGAATAATCAATTATTTTCTTAGTAATTCCTACCATGATACGTTAGTAGAAGACGCTAAATCTCACGAATGTAGTACGCTGCTACGATCTCGGGTCGTAGACGCTACGATTCTGATCCGTAACACGTTACGCGTAGTACGCTGCTACGATTTCGGATCGTAGTCGCTACGATCTCGAATCGTAGCACATTACGAGTAGTTCGCTGCTACGATCCTGTTTCGTAGTACATATTTCACGCGTCGCTATGACCTCGGCTAGTCCTCATGATTCGATCGATAGAGCAAGGGTGCGACTTATTGTTTACATTGAATAAAATTGAAAGAATTCCGATGTTTGAGTGGTCGTTAAATTTTATATTTGTAAAATCATGGCGTTGGGTCATAGGTTCACCCTCTATTTTAATGGGGTTGACAATTTGTGTAAAGTCGCGAAAACTGCAAGCTTTCAGAAAATATAAGAAAATGCAGAAAATATTCCACTTTCTGAAGGAATAAGTACACCCAACAGATATATTAACTCGTCGAGTACCGGTTTTGTAGACACAATTATAGAACAATAGGTTGCGGTCACCGGTGACCGCTTGGTGTTTGACAGTTTAAAGTAGGTATATGAGATATAATAAAATATACACTTACTTTTTTATTGAGGATAGTAGCGATGGTATCGGATGTCTCATTGCCATTGAAGCGTTCTACACTTAGCATTAATGCTTCGGCGGCGCCGTCTTGGAAGCGTGGTTCATCTCTGCCTGGCCACAGCACCAGGCGCGAGGCGTGCCGCACCGTCAGCGTGTCCGATGTACTCGGCAACGTTGATATCAGACGTTTAACTAAGTCAACGCTTTCCTATTCACCAAAAATACCTATTTTAAGTGCTTTTAGATTTTGATTGATAGTAAAGTCTATATGAATACAAATAAGACTTTATATCTGTATTGAATACAGCAATTCTTTGCATTTTCAGATCAAAGGCCATAGTTATATTATATATTTCAAGTGTGGGAGAGCTATGCTTCGGCACGAATGGGCCGGCTCGACTGTAGTGATATCACGGCCTCACACAAAACCGACGTGAAGCAACGCCTGCGTTGTGTTTCGTCGTGTGAGTGAGGTTACCGGAGGCCTAATTACCCTCCCCTTCCCCAATCTCCCCAATTCCTGAATCCCCAACGATCCTCAAACTCCTAATCCCCAAAAGGCCGGTAACATACTTGTAACGCCTCTGGTGTTCCAGGTGTCCATGGGCGACGCCGATTGCTTACCCTCAGGTGATCCGTCTGCTCGTTTACTGGCTTATGCCATAATATATTGTAATTGTAGTGTTATATCTAACTTCTTAGAATACAGAATACATCTACGACGAACTATGAGATTTGCAGTTAGCTTATTAAACTTTCCGAGGTATGTAACACCTCGAGATAATAGAAATAACTTCTAACAACAGCTACTCGAGGTCCATATTTAATTAGAGTAATAAGATAGGTGGGTACCATGTCGGAAATTTTAAATCCAATGCATTTGTCTATTTCAGCCCTGGTAGCGGTGTCGACTTCTTTCGAGAGAACCATCAAAGTTATTAGTAGAAAGAAACCAGATTGTACGAAACTCATTCCATTTTCTTGTCGATCTGCTGGACTTATGCTCGTAAGCTTCGCGAACGTGATCTGCAACCATTCCAAAAACTTAGTATAAAAAAATACATTTGTGTGATAATTGTTATCGTCATCAGTTCGTGTACATATCTAATGCAGAACAAAGAGCTAGCTAGCGGATTGCAATGAGAGCACGTAAAATTTTAAGGATGTTACTGCATACTGCACGGATGCCGCAGTGGCTGGGCAATGGGCTGCCGTGTAACGTGTCGCGGGTTAGATTCCCGCACGGAACAACTCTTTGTGTGATCCACAGATTGTTGTTCCGGGCCTGGATGTCATGTGTATGTGAACCCCTGTACGTTTATAAACTCACCCACAACACAGGAGAAAATCCTAGTGTGGGGCAACGTTAAAAAAAAAAACACCTAATGTAACTGTTTATTTTTCGCCTCAAAACGGAACATTCATTTATTTAGATTGTGGTGGTAAGTAGCTATATCCTACAATTATAGATTATTTTTATTTTGACCCATAACAAAAAAAGAGTTACTAAGAAACTTAAGGTTTTTTCGACGTTACTTTGTCAATTAGTTCTGTAACCCAAAAATATGTATTATTTGAAGATTTCCCCAGTTTTTCTCGAAATTTTTCCAAAATGGGACAATGTTTTTCTCGAAATTTTTCCAAAACGGGACAATTTTGCGTCCCAGAGTTCATTTTGAAGACAACAGGACTGGAATTATGAAGAGGGACAGTCCCGTTCAAAACGGGACATCTGATCACGTTATGCATACGGAATCAATGGAGGTAATTTGTACTAAGTACATATCCTCTACTGTTTATGTAGGTACACAGGTACACACATAACAAGTTTACTGTTAAGTTAAACGTTCACGACATTGTCCCTATATACCTTGTTATCTCATCTCGCAAATGTGTTTTAGAATTAATGAGTACCCGGGAAGTTTGTAACAATGATGAATGTTTCCCTAAATCTGCAATTAGGAACCGTGCGTTGTAGTTGGTAGTTAGAAAATAGAAATCAGTAATTTAAATATGTGAATACACGTAATACGTACCTACCATAATAAATCTAAATTAACTATATTTTATTCAGTTCAATGACCAACGAAAACTGGCAGGCTTAAAATTGTTTAATTCCATTTGATATCACAATGAATTTCAATTTGAAACCGATTTGATAACCGTACAATATGTTCGAATTTAATCTGTACCTAGTTTCAATAACAAACGACTATGCGTATGCGTTGGTCACAGTAACTCACTTATTTAATGTAGCTAATCACATTGTTATTTGTTATATGTAAATATGTACCTAACTATAATGATGACGGCAGTAGGTATACAACTGCAGAAATATGTTTACAATAAATTCACTCGTTCATTTTTCGGTAAATATTTATTGGTAAACAACGAGCGAGATTTCGTGACCGGGGTTCCTAATTACAGTTAACAACGAAAAACCCAAGTGAGAAGTCGTGGGTCAAGTTTATTACTTCAGTTATATTATAATCAAACAAATGGAATTTGTGAAAAATTGTTATAACAATCTGTTTCCTTGCAATTGTGTGAGTAAAATAATTTAGGATTTGCATAAACACATTTGAACCTACCGCAATAAGATATGTTCCCAGTTTCGATACAGATTTATCAAAATCATAAGTACCTTGTTAGATAGGATAACGAGTAGTCATGAACACTCTGCTCTACTTAATAAATAGTTTTATTACTATTTATGTGTAAATCCTTCGCTGGCAGATTAATCCCACTGGTTTAGTTGAATCAACTCCAAAATAGTAGCTACAGTCATGTAGTTTTTTTTTTTTAGTTTGGAATAGATTTCATAGAATATTTGTAAAAACATTATTATGCATTTTCGGTATGACGGGCTCTCTAATAAAAAAGAAGATAATAAATAAAGATAAGTCGTTAACAATAAAAACACTTACCTTATAAAATTGTCGCTCAAAGAGGTCTAGGCGTTGTGTAAATTTGTCAATGGAAGACATATTTTTCTGTGTAATAACTTTTTGTGAAGCACCAGTAACAGCCGTCGTAGCTGGCGGCTTTAATGGCAATTGACTGTGTGGCACAATACTCGGACTGCTAACAAGTATAGGTAGCGCTGTTGTACTCCACCCGATAGGTCTAGTGGGGTACTGCTGAGGTGCATTCCAAGGACTGTTGAACTTCATTTCAGGTTTTGGCGCTAGTTGAGTTGCTCCAGGGCTATACACAGGAAAAGTTTTACCAGGTATTGGGGTATACCAGTCCGGATATGACCTTAAATTATTATACATTGTGTTAGGACTCGCCGAATAGAACCTTCTGAATGGCGGTTGCACCTCGGACAAAGGCGGCTTGACATCGTTGCCAAGGTTGCGAACTCTAGTCTTGGAGCTCTGGGAATATGGTCTTGCATTATAATGATTTAAAAACTTTTCTCCAATATTCCTTTTTTTATATAAAATGTCAATTATATCGTAAAAATTGTGCAGAGCATTGCAACTCAGCCAGCTATTGTTAAATAAACAATATTTTTTCTGACTCTTTTCTAAGTTTGCTAGGAAAGAATGTGATTTTTCTCGAATATTATAAATAGGAATTTCAATGGTGTTTATCGAAAACATACTAATTTGTACGAGTAATACAACTGAAGCACATTCTTGAATCATATCTAACATCAAACATCTGTGATTTGTCTAATTTTACAATAGCGTCCCGATTTTCAAAGAGATGACTAAACATAATATAGTTATGCTCTCGTACTCGGTTTGGGTATTTCGTTTGGAGCAACGAAATTATCTATCATTAAATCAAATTAATATCTCTGAAAATAATTAGAACATCACAACTAGAAGACAGTTTAAAAACTACCCATGATTAGCACTGAAATTACGAGCACATGATCACGTTAACATAGAATATATAAAAAGTTAGGTAAACGTGGAGAGAGGAAAAACCATACTGTCAATACCGTGGTCACTCTGCCGTATCTGTAGTAAATACAGTCAGTTCCGCATAAAATTGAACCACCTAAATAAGTACTTAACGCTGAATTAATGAGAGTAATTAACGCGGTTTCATTCGATAACACTACTTTGATTTGAGTAATCAAAGCCATTTAGTAACTAACTAGGTACCTACAATAAGAGAAGCAATAGCTATGTACATACTTAGAACGAATGAGCTCAACAGTAAATGGAAAATAAATTGAACAATCAGCGTCTAGCCATTGAAAGTAGTTAGGCACCTATCTATAAGATACAAAATCTACATAAATTAAGCCAAATCTCTATTTAAATTCCGTTGTTACCTATAATTCAAATTTCGCGTCACCCGCAACTTCAAATGTAAATTTTTCAACAGCGCCATCTAGTTTACCAAACTTGAAACAAAAACACGCCATCTATGTAAATTGCATTAAACTACATAGAGTTCTTACTAACTACAATCCCTTACAATCTGTCATATTATCGACCTACAACCACTACAAACTAAATTGCACCAAAAGATGGCGCCACCATGCGCGGGCTGTCTTCAACAAATAACAAATAGACGATATTTGATGTGCAATTTATGCCACAATAAATACGACCTAAAGTGTGCAAACATAACAACGCCAAACTTTCTACGGCTAACAGTAGAAGACAAAACAGCTTGGAACTGTCAACTCTGCCGCTGCAAAAAACCAAAAGGCGATAACACAAACACTCCTATTCGTCCGGTAGAATCAAATCTAACCAAAAGAAATACTTCACCTGGAAATCAAAAAACCGATGGAAATGCTTCCCTATATCAGATACTTGCTCTGGAAGACACCAATAACGACTGCACCCACATCGACGACGAAACTAGCGTAATAGGCGATACATTCCAACCACAGAGTCCTAACATACCACATTCGCAAATTGATACTATGCTCAATAAGTTGGAGACATTAATCGATCAGAAATTCGAACATAACAAGCTATGCGTACTTACCGAAATTAAACAATTAATTGCAGCTGAAATCTGTAAGGCCCTCAACGGTATAAAAATAGAATTCTCACCAAATTTCCGAGAAATTACTCAAGGCGTTAATAACAATAAAGTTGAAATAAATAACTTGACTAAACAGATAGAAAATCTAGAAACCATATGTTCTTCAATAAAACTAGAAATACAAAGCCTAAAACTAACAGAAACTACCTTAAACACAACTGAACTACAAACTAATAAATACAAAATTAATAACGAAAACTCAAAGAAAATTGTACTCTATGGATTTCCCGAAAACTACAATGAAACTGATTGCGAACTCCAAAGCAGGATAATTGAATTGTTCTACGAAATCCTTGAATTAGACCTTACGGGTTACATTGAAGAAACATATAGAATAGGAAGAAGTAATATAAAAAACCGTCCCTTAGTCATCGAACTTCTGAGCAAAAGAACAGCAAAATACATAATTGAAAATGGGCATTACTTTCAAGGAACTAGAATATACGTTTCTGAATTCTTAAATGATTACGCCCGTAATGAAAGGAAAATACTACGTGACGAAATGCTAAAAGCACGTAAAAACGGCCTACACGCAACAATAAGAAACAACCAATTGTTCATAGAAGGAAAAAAAATATTGGTTAACAAGGAAATAGCAAATACCCAAAACAATGCTGAAAGTAACGACGAAATAATAAACAACTGCGCACCTTCTCCCACTACAAAAAACAATACGTATGCAACTAACAAAGAAGATACAAACCGTAAAAATTATATTTTTCGAAACCACGGACCAAGAATTTAAAATTTTATTTCAAAATATCCAAAGTATTTACAATAAACAACACCTACTAGAAGCATTTATTGATGAGAAACCCATATACAATGTCATGTGCTTAAGTGAAACTTGGCTATCACAAGAAAAACTAGATACCCTGCGATTTGATGGATACAAAATTGCAGCATCGTACTGTCGCAGCTCTCGAACCGGCGGCGGCGTGTGCATCCTACTGCAGGACCAAATTGACTATGTAGAGATAAGTGATTTTTGTGATATGTCTATTGAGTATTGTTTAGAAATTTGTGCGATAGAGATAAAAAAGGAAAATATGTTAATTCTGAGTTGTTATTGGAATAGAAAGGAAGAAGAACAATTTATAACTAAACTAAAACAAATTATGTCCCTAATAAGTAAGAAATTTTCAAAGTGTAATGTTATATTAGGTGGAGATTTTAATATTAATACTTTGGAAAATAATTTAAGAACGAATTCATTCTTAGATCTCATGTTAGAATATAAGTTTAACCAACATATAAAAGTTCCTACACGCATAACACAAACTACTTCGACATGTTTAGACCTAATATTTACCAACTTTAAAAACAATAACACATACACAACGGTAGAAGAATTCGGTTTCTCCGACCACAATGCCACCATCTTACATACAATATCGAATAAACAAAACAAAAACATAATATGGCACACAAGAAAACGATTATTTACTATCAAAAACATACAAACTTTTAAATCCGAACTTAACAAAATAAAATGGAATGACATCTTAATAGAAACTAACAATATAAACGAAAATTATAACGCTTTTAATAATATTCTAACAAACATTCTCAATTCATGTATTCCTTTAAAGAAAATTAAATTAAATGCAAAGAAGAAAAAGTACTGGCTAACAAAAGGTATTAAATTGTCCTGTAAAAACAAAAGACTCCTAAAAATCCTCACACAAAAATCAAATGACCCCATATTATTACAATACTACAAAAAGTATGAAAAAGTATTAAAAAAATCTGTAACAACAGCAAAAAAGCTACAATATATAAATAGAATAAATAAATCTTCAAATAAAACAAAAACCATGTGGAGGATCATAAATGAAAATACAAATAAAACAATTAACAGCGAAAAACACAATATAAAATTAAATCTAAACAATAGTGTGGTCAATGAACCTTCACAGGTTGCTGACGTTTTTAACAACTTTTTTATGTCAATTGGTGTAAAAACCACTACACTACATGGACATGACCCTAAAGGTTTCCCCGTACTACGTCAAATAGAAAATACTATGTTTCTCAAACCTGTAGATCCCTACGAAGTAAATAACATCATAAAAAACTTAAAAAACAAACAAAGTTATGGCGTTGATGAGCTCCCTCCCTCCTTACTTAAACAATGTGCGAACGAACTAACACTACCATTCTACAAATTAATTAATCAATCATTCGAAGAAGGAACCTTCCCAAACCAACTTAAAAAATCCATAATAAAGCCAATTCACAAGAAGAACGACAAAACAGACCCAAATAACTACCGTCCCATAGCTTTACTACCTACAGCCTCGAAGATATTCGAGAAAGCAATGTGCGAGCGCGTTTATGATTTCTGTGAAAAATATAATATACTAGACGACTGCCAGAATGGTTTTCGTAAAAACAGAACTACAACCCTTGCGGTCTACAAATATATCCATGAAGCTTTAAATATTATCGACAACAAGAACTACGCGATAGGTATACTGCTCGACATGACAAAGGCTTACGATAGGGTACAATTTCACATACTGCTGGATAAATTAAAAGGAATAGGAATAAGGGGAAAAGCTCATGATTGGTTTGTTTCATATCTTAGAGACCGAGAACAACTTGTGGAGATAGAATATTTTGATAATCAAACCAAACAAATATCTAAGATAAGATCTGAATGCAAACCTGTAAATGCATCAATTCCTCAAGGAAGTGTAATAGGGTGCCTTTTGTTCCTCATCTACATCAATGACCTCCCTAAGACCATAAAAGAACCATGCGTCCTGTTTGCTGACGATATATCACTTATCACGTCATGCCAAAACAATATGAACTTAGATAATAAGCTTAACACTCTCCTTTCTGCAGCAGTAAACTGGATGGAACACCATAATTTAGAAATCAACTTCTCTAAAACCAAACTTATGACTTTTCACCCCCAACAAAAATCCCCCCTTAAAATTGACTTCAAATTCAATAACATCCAAATAGAACAAGTAAATCAATTTACCTTACTAGGCTTATCAATAGACTCACATATCAACTGGAAATCACATATACAAAAAATTAAATCAAAGTTATCGAAATTTTCCTACGCCCTATATGAAATAAAAAAATCCACCAACTTTAAAACCGCACTTGCCACATATTATGCTTATGCCCAAGCGTGGATAAGCTATGGCATAATACTATGGGGCAATAGTACAGACTCACAGACCATATTTACCATGCAAAAAAAGTTAATCAGAATAATGACAAATATAGAACAAACCGACAGCTGTAGACCACATTTTAGAAATCATAAAATACTTACTTTGATATGCACCTACATCTTGGAAATTTGTAAATTTGTCAGAAACCGCCCAGAATATTACAGTACACGTGACAATAAGACAGACTACAACTTAAGACACAAAACCAGACTAAACCTACCGAGCTCCCGACTTCATATGTATTCATCTGGCACCCTAGTAATGTCAATAAAAATATATAACGCTGTACCGAAATACATAAAAGAAGCAGAAAAATATAACGTATTTATAAATAAATTAAAACGGTTCCTCATTGAAAAATGTTACTACACCCTTAATGAGTTTTTTGATGACCAAGCTAGCAGCAAAACTTAATACTCAATGCATACCTACCTACTCAATAAAAATCATATTAAATATAATAATACATGTACTACATACAATAACACCATTATTAAGAAATTTATGCAAATACATATTATAATAAAATAAATAAATATCTTCTTTCTTTAATGTTTAGTACGAAAACAACATTTCTTATGTTATAATATAATAACTATTAATAGTAGTTTAGTTAGATCATATTTTGCTCCATATGTTGCTGTGCCCTAGCCGGGTTTCATGTTGAAACTGTACCTCATGTAACACCAACAATTGTACACATGATATGCAATAAAAAATTTTGAATTTGAATTTGAATTTGAATTTGAATTATTTTGTTAGACGTTTCGAAATACTTACGGAATTATACGAAGATATAATTAAATACTTAGTACATATATTTTAACAAAATACTTCTACAGCTCTAAAATCTTAGCTGACTAGAGTCGCATCTAGAAGAACAATTGAATCCATTTTAATTTACCAAATAGGTAGGGGTCAGAGTTTAGGGTCAGACAGAAGTCGCTCAAGTAATCATAAATTATGAGCGTTAGTCGCGGATCTTCCAATTTTGGCAAGATCTCAATGTTCTAGTTTAACAGTGCCCTATATTTTGGGGACTAGTTTTGTCGGAATCTGAATGATTTTAACGAATACAATCTGGCTACCGGCCATTTTTTGATAAATTATACCAAGTCGATCCTACGAGTCGTACATAAATAGAACATTGAATCTGCTCATACTATCAATATCTACGTATTAATTTGTAAAATATTCGACGCTGTTACGCATGTTCTCATGAAATCATATTCTGCTAGAAAAACGAAACGGTTGATAAGAAAATATTTTATCTCGAAATATATAATTATATCGAGACTAAAGTAAAACTGTAGGACAGTTCTAACTATTGATGTAATATATCAGATAGATAGATATATTAGTAACTCATCATGTAATATATCAGAATCCACAGTAATGCTAGCGAATAAGCAAAAACATCCGAGATAGTGAAGCCAGGTGCATTTCAGGGACATGCATGGACTGGCTTGGAACTCTAAGCATTGTTTAAACATAGGTAGGTACATAGTCAGGTAGGTTAAATAATATTTTGTTTAAAATACGTAATAAAATCTAGCAAGTCTAGGTCGAAGTGTGTCAAAATGTAACTAGATGGTCGAGATATAATTAATCTAATAATTAAAATGAGTACCTACTGTGACATATTTACATAATAATATGTAGTAAGTATATAGCTTATGTTTCTTACGTATAGCTGTAGAAGAGCAATTTCACTCCCCGTTTTTGCGCGCAGTGCTACTTTGGAACTAGAAATAAACATACATATTACACAACCTTCTCAGAAAACCTAGAAGTACATTGTTACCAACTTTTCCTAAGACATTTAATGAAGTATATTTATAACCCTTTCTTACAACTTTGAGCAGCTAATAACAAAGCTGTCATTAGCCCCAGTTGACTAAGTACCTACGTTGTATTTTACCGAATAAACCCATTTACAACCAATTTTGAATTCTATTCCGTAGCAATACGATAGATATTGAGTGTAAATAACAAATTGTGGTATCCTACAGTTTTGATAAATCTTATTGCTATGGGTATAGAAGTGAAAATCGTAATCGTAGTCGTATTCACAGTAAAAAGGGGCTTCGAAAGGTCGTGTTGTTTTCAATGGTACCTATATACATATCGACATATGTCGGTACAGCTACTACATACTTATTTACATACTACCTACTTTAATAATGACATACCTATAACAATTCATTTTCTTCAAAGTCTCCTTTATAAAGTATCCAAAATATTGGGCACTTTTTTCGGAAAATTACGAATAGTAGTGGATGATTGCCGATGAACTCCAAGTCAAAAGCCGCAGTTAATCTCATTATACCAATTGCTGTAAAACATTAGAAAAACAACATTACCGCTATAGCTACTTAGGGAGCCAACTAACCTCAACACTGTACCCGTAACCAGGTCTCCAGGTCAGGATTTGTTGACCGGGCAAAGTCTTATTAGGTTTATCGAAGTCGAAATTCTCTCACTTTGTGTGGCAAAACTCGTTCTTATTTTAACAAGAAAACCGATAAAACCATCGAAAGTGTAAAACCTCTACTCATTCTTGGGAAAAATAAATATACCTAATACTGAGTATTATATAAGCCGTTATGTGCACTCTATTGCATGTAAAGTTCTTAAGAAGTAGAGCCTTTACTTCTGCATTAACACATTAAACGCCGACAAATCGTCCACTAACGTCGGTGCCCACCGGTGACCGACGTTAGTGGACGATTTGTCTTCATCAGTTTTCTATTGGCAGTCAAAGGCTTAAACGATACATTAACAAGTAAATTAGCCAAACAGCAAATCTCAGATATCCTGAAACTAGCTGGCGTCCATACAACAAGAATAATTTTAGTACATACACAAGTAGGTCAGTGGGACAACCTGGGATATCGATCAGGAGCGACATAAAGTTGCGCGCATTATATTTTAAAGCTTTCATTTAATTTTAGTTATGAACTCTATACTATAGCTAGATAGTACAGGATCAACTTGACGTTTATCAGGCTGTTCTTTATCACGCACGAAGAAGTAGGCAGAATATAAGAACTCTAAAATTATATACACTTTCTGTGTTATTTTGCTAAGAAGGCTTCGTAATCGACAAATTGAATTAATCGAGGTTCGAACCCGTTAACTTGTATGTAACAATTCACTAGACTAACGAGTCAACACTCATTGGTCTTTTGAGAAATAACTTAGACATTCATGTACCACAAATGGGTTTTGAAGGAGCGGTCCTGTCCAAATTGTAGTGATATATTGTTGTACAGTACAAAATCAGATGACCTTAGCCGCCTTCACCTACGTAGCTTAGTCTAGGAGTTTATTAACCTACCAATGACAAACATGTTTAAATTCGTTAAACAAAGCGCTATATAGGTACTTACATTATTTACTTTTACGAATTAGGTATTTCCATATACATACTAAGAGTATAAGTATTACTTCGCAGTTATTTTTATAATTTCAGGCCAACAGATTTGTGTTTATTTTTGCCGATTGCAAAATCGATGGTAAGAACACGTTTGAATGAAGTTCATATCTACCATCCTGATACTAGTATTAGGATAGGAAAACAAAACAAATATACAATTTTGTGTAAAAATAAGAGTATTTATTGATAAGTAATAGCTTATTCTTCGTTTGCATAGTAAGCTGCAACAAACTCAATGTGTCTGTCGACGAGGATAGCAGCTATGAAGGGTCGGTCAGCGAGGAAGGCAGGCACGGGTTGGAGGTTGATCATAGCCGAAAACATGGCGACTCCCATAGCTGGAATACATTGAGGTTCATGTGTTGTAACAACAAGAGTCATAGATTCCATAATTCCAAAACCATAGAAAAAATGCAACGACTTACAATAAAGCCAAGGCGCAAGACAAACGGAGAGCGTACATCGAGCGATGAATGACAATACTTACTTCTTGAACCGATGAAGACTGATGTAATAAATAAGAACGAATTCAGAATGTACGATAATTACCTGTAGTGATATTAATAAATTAAACTTACATTGCCATATTGTGTTTAGTATAATACTAATAATTTTATTATTTTATTGTAAGATGTATTTAAAAATGTATGTTTAGAGAATTTTAAATAAATTGGTATATGGGAATATTATTATATTTTGTAATGGATTGTGAATTTTCCAGCCACTTAAGAGCCTATGATAGACGCCAATAGTTACGAAACGGTCACCGTAGCCTCTACCGGCATGTCGCGGGGAACCTAACGGGTTACCGGGGCTCCGGTTCGACGTGCAGGCGAAGGAACGGGGTGGTTTTTAGTCAATAAGAGTCTGACACTCCCTCATGGAGTCTCTCCTCACATGGAGCAGTCATTCGATGATTTGTACCCCCTTAAAAAAAAGCCGCTACCGGCATGGAGTATTATGTATTTTGGACAAGGAAAATGAAAGTTTTCTATGATTTTATTATCGTGTCGTAGATTACAAATACTATGATAAGCTGCCAAATAAGTCATTATAAAAATTATGTAAACACTCTCTCTAAACATATGTAAAAAATATAAGTATATCGTTGACATAGTCTTATTACGTACTTAGTCAAACTGAGAACCTCATTTTTTGAAGTCGTTTTACAAAGTCTGTGGCCAGATCTTCATCACATTTTATATGTGGTAGGTATATGATTTGTTAAAAAACTTGTGGGCGGTATTTTAATAAAATATCTTAATTGTTGACATTATTTATTTAATAAAACTTGATTTTTATTTTATTTATTTCATAAGATATAATTAAAAGTACATGTGCTGTAAATACAATGTACACTATGTTTTTTTTTTGTTAGAGAATATAGTTGTATAAACAAGATATTTATTGATCTGATCGGTCCAGCGCATAGGTGATCTGCCTCCTGATCTGGTTCCCTCTACTTTCTCCCGAACGACCAACCGCTCTATGGAGTTGTTATCACGACGAGAGACATGGCCAAAGTACTGCAGTATGCGCGTCTGGAGTCTGGACTATGGTTGATAGACGCTTTGTGATGCCGAGTTCTCATATCTCTAGAGCATCTATCTTCCTCTTTTCCAATTCACGTACTGTCCACGTCTCTGCCGCGTAGAGGAAAATTGGAAAAACCAGCGTTAGCATAAGTCTAAACTTGGTGGTTTTAGTGATGTTGCGATTCCTTCAAACTATCTTCAGCTTCTCCACCGCAGTTCTGGCCATAGCCACGCGGCGCTTAACTTCATCCACGCAACCGCCCCGTAGGATATGAAGGCTCCAAGATATATATATAGGTTTGAACCACGACTGGCGAAGGGTAAGGGATTGTCCATCTTGTAAACAATATTGTTACAGTTTAAGTTGCGAATTACTTTGAATTTGATTCGAATTTGACATAATTTGTGGGCTATTCAGTACATTCAATCTAAATAATTTAGGTAGGTATCGGTATAAATGATGATTTGTTAAAAAAAACCTTGCAGGCGTTATTTTAATATAATATCTTAATTATTGACATTATTTATTTAATAAACTAGACTTTTTTATTTATTTCGTGTGCATGTGTGTTGTAAATATAATGTAAACTATATTTTTTTTATGAAGCAAATGTAGTTGTATAGACAAAGTATTATTTTATACATTTGTATTAATTATCACTGCCGTAGTACGACGCCAGGAAGTGAGGAGTGTTTCCAATTATGATAGAAGCCAGGAAAGGCCGGTTTGCGATGAACCGACGAATGGGCGGCGGGTTTAACATCCGTGACTTAGTGACGCTCGTTGCTGCTGGAATAACATATTGATTCACAAGATAAATGAAGTGTCAGTTGTAGGAAGACTATTTGTAGGTAGGTACAGGTCTCCCTGAAAGTATTATGGATCAAATCGATCAGAGTTCCGGGGAGGTCATTTCCAAACATTTTTATCTGAGGATTTAATCGAATTCTGCGGTTCTGAAGTTATGACCAATTTTTATTTTATTCAATTATAGAGGTATATTACAATTCAAAACAACAAACTATTAGGGGTATCCGTATAATTTTAATTTGAAAATAAATATAAATTAATTAATGGTACCTACACTATTATTATCGGCATCTATTTAATCATGAAAAAAACTTAATTGACCCTTTGAGTGCACCGATATAAGACACAATAGAAAATACATGGTCTCGCGTGGATCCGCGTTTCGAAACACGAAAGGTTAATAACAAAAGCAAGTGCAAAGCATTTAGGTTGGCGAAAAGTTATTCAATTTTCAAGCGATGTTCCTGTAAAGTTGACCATGTATCGGAAAAACTTTACGTTTTCCTAGCTACTATTTTAGTCCATAATTGCGTTTCAGTTTCTGGTCATTAGTTTTTCCACAAGTTTTGAACAAAATCATTCAGTAAAACCTTAAATAGATACATAACACTATTAAGTAATTTACAATTTTCAACCCACTTAGAAAACAAGGATTAGGTTCTCAATTCGACTATATTGTTTTTATGATTGTTACTCGAATCGATTCGATCGATTGGACCGATTTCAAAAATTCTTCTTATATTTTAAAGGGTAGGCTTGTCATTTGGTCCCATTGTCATCAAGTCAGAATCTGATGATGGAATCCCAGGGGAACCGAGGAGAACTTTTAAAAATTAAAGGGGCGACTAGTACATTTGTTATTTTTTTCATTAAGTATTTAAAACTACAATCTGATAAAGGTCTGAAATCGATCAGATGATGGAGCCGAGAGCCAGTCGAGGAAAATCTTCAACGGTTAACAGTAGCTACATTGTGTTTGGGTTTGATTAATTTGTATTGATGAGGACTTTACACCTGTGGTTGTCAATAATGGTCTGATGATGAAGTAGTATGATAGTTGAGGGAACTCCTCAAGGGTATAGATATACATGTATAATTCAAAATATTCAAACCCAAACACAAGATAGCTACTGTTAACCGTTGAGGAGTTCCCTAAACTTTCGTACTACATTTCATCATGACCCCTGTAGCACAGGTTTTCCTAGCATGGGGGTCATTAAACAATTATGTTCTAAATGTCTTCATGAATTTTAGATACCTACGTGTCATGATATTGTAAAGTACTTCTTTGTTTTGGAATAAACAATTTTTATACCTACCTATTGTGCGATTTGCGGATATCTAGGTATATAGGTGTGTACCCAGTGGCGTGCACACCATACATGCAAATAAGCACTGCATACCCTACAAAATCATGGTAAACCTACATAGTCAAATACATAGTGTCACTCATAAACACGACATGAATATTTACTGACATCATACAGAGATTTCGTAATTTTATTGATACTTAATTTGAAAAACTGGTCACTAACGCCATCTATCGAAAAAATATTGAAGTACTACAACCACTTTCTACTTTCTTCGATATATTGAAGCATTGCGCCAGTGGCGCCGCCACCTCGCTATTGTGTGATGGTGGCGGAAGCATGTACTAATGCG